GATGTGGAAACTGAGGCAGAGAAGGGGCCTAGGATGCCTAACCAGTCCAGGCAGGAGGACTGGAGGGAACTTAGACTCAGACGGGGCCCCTGACATCATCATAGTGGGCACTGAGGCCGTGGATGGGGCTGTTTACACAGGGGGAATGATGGATTATTCAAGACTCAAAGCACTTTTGGCCCACATGGCCACCTTTCTCAACCGGGCCTGCAGTGGGCTGTGCCTCTGGAGAGTGTCCTGGCCTACCCGGCCCCTGTGAGGGATGGGATGTGAGTGCTGCTCAGCGGGTGGCCCCTGGGGTGAGGAGGGAATGGTCCCCTGCCCCTCTGGAGTCCACTGCCAAGGCCACGAGGACAGGCGGTGATGGGCTGGAGCTGTGGCTTTACTTCCTTCCTGGGTAGCAGGACCGGAAGGGCTGAGGACCCAGCGACACCTGGAGGCAGTTCTGATGGCTGGGGTGCGGCTCTCAGGGGAGGGGGACCAGAAGCCAGGTGGGCTCCCGGGGTGGCTGGGAAGTCGACACCACCCCAAAGCCACGACACCAAGGAGTGGAAGCTCAGACACCCTCCCTAATAGTAACAGTGATGCTGGCAGCCCTGACCTGCCAGCCACCAGGGAGGTATCCACCTGTATCAGTTCATTTACTACCTATAGCACCCCAATAACCGGCTCTCTCATCCACCACCTCACTGCTGAGAACATGGTTGGTGTTGGTCCCTGTCCCTGTCCTTGACTTGAGCTTCATGACAGGTAATTGCCACTACATGCCAGGTCACCTCCACATACACGAAACCCTCCGTACTTACAACATTTTATTTTCCATTTCAGCTCAATGGTCCTTAAGATGTTTACCTCGTACACCGCCTTTCCCAGCATCTTGCCCACAAATTCAAAGAGCTGCAGGTAATTCTCATGGATGTAGGACGTGGGCGAAGGGTAGAGTCTCTCGTCTCCACTGGTCGTCTGCAAGGCAGAAGGACGAGGGTGGGGGCAGGGAGGTGAAATGCCTCCACTTTTCATCTCTCACCTTGAATCTGGCTGCCGTCCACCCCGCACTCGCACCCTTTAAATACCTTGAACAGATTGAGCGCTGGGTCAAACACTCTCTTGATGATCTCTTCCAAGAACTCCTTGAAAACACCGTCTTGGTCAATCCCGGCCTCGTCCACCCCGAGGTCGTTGACAAACTTGACTCGGATGACGCCCTTCATGGCGTGCTGTGAGAGCTGCCGGAGCTGCTCATAGCCGTCCTGTGAGGGCAGAAATA